GCTTTTAGCTACTGTTGTTTCTTTTAGCTACTGCTTTGCTTCTTTTGACTCTCATTTTGCTTCTTTTAGCTACTGTCCTGCTTCTTTAAGCTCATGTTCTGCAAATTTTAGCTTTTAGCAACTGTTGTTTTTTAATCACTTGTTCTGCTTCTTGTAGCTGTCAGTCTTCTTTTAAGGCTACCATTCTTCTTCTTTTAGCTACAATTCTGCTACACTTAGCTTTTAGCTAATGTTGTTTCTTTTAGTTACTGCTTTGCTTCTTTTGGCTCTCATTCTGCTTCTTTTAGCTAGTATTCTGCTAAATTTAGCTTTTAGCTACTGTTGTTTCTTTTAGCTACTGCTTTGCTTCATTGGGCTCTCATTCTGCTTCTTTTAGCTAGGATTCTGCTTTTTGTATCTTTTAGCCACAGTGCTGATATGTTTAGCTTTTAACTAATGTTCTGCTGCTTTAGCTTTAAACTACAATTGTACTTCTTTAGCTAATATTTTGTGTCTTTTAGATTTATCTATGGTTTTGTTGATTTTAGCTTCTTTTTGTTAATGTTAAGATCTGTTTGTTTTAGCTTTAGCCTTCCTTTCGCTAATTTTAGCTAAAGTTCTGCTGCTTTTGTTTTATTTTTTCAGCTTTTTTTTTCAAATTTATGGTCAGATCTGCTTATGTTAACTTCAACAACTCAGCTTCAGCTTTTTCTGCAAATTTCAGCTAAGTTACTCAACTCGAGGTAATTTTTTTGTTTTCATTTATAAATAATTATTTTTCAATTTCACTGAAAGCATCAGCTCTACGTGTGAGCAGCTCTGATTCCTACAGTGAACTCCTGAATCAGAGCTCATGACGAAGACTGGTCCAACACACGAGCACGTCGGCTTCCTGTGGTCAACCAGCTGGGAGTGAATCATCGCTCGGCCTACAAGCATCCTCCTCCACAACTATACTGTCGTCATGGCAACAATACAAAAAAAGCAACTGGACAGCAACGAAGAACAGACTGGAATAAACGAGTTTTTATTTCAATAAGAAACACCTGTTGTAAAATCATTGATTAAATAAGAAGAAAAAGCCCACATGGATCCACTTTCCGACAAAATGGCAGCCATTTTAGCTAATTTCTCTATTTTTCGTGGTTATTTTGTGTCTTTGAGCATGTCACATTTCTTTGTGGCCACTTGGCAAACTATTGCGATCACAACCTGGATGTTCATTTGCTGTCCCCACAGCCAGTCTAGTCAAAGTTTAAACAGATCAGCATGAGCATGTCTTGTAAAATGGCACACTGAGGTGTACACTTATCCCAGATCAGTTTTGTTACGAAACCCTGAGACTGCTGTTCAGTTACTAAACAAACAAGACAAAAAAATCAGTCTTGGCAACCTCTTTGTTTGGCTAATAAACAGCTCTGTTCTCCATCATTATCGTCATAGTCATGAGTCATCTACATCAAGGTCAGAAACAGGCTGGAATTTCAAAATAAAGCGGCAGTCGCTGTTATGTCCTGGCTCTCCAGTATGTTGTGAGTTACATAAACACACCATCAGCTGTTCATTCACAGCACTAACACGCCTGCTCATGGAGAAGATGAAGAACTAATGATAATTGTACACGTGCACATCGAATACCAGTGCAGCCAAGTCACTTTTAGAGGTTTTGACAAACAAAGAAAATGTATAAAATGCAATAAAAACAACAACAGAGGAACCGTAAAAGGAACAAAAGACGTGATCTCATGGTCACAATTACACCAAAAGGTCTGCAAAGAAATGAAAAAAGAATTAGAAAGCAGAGATGAAAAACTACGCAGGGAATGGAAATGAACAAGTGAAATTAAATAAAATTTAAAATATATATATATATATATATATATATATATATGAAGGTGTTTTGAAACGTTCCCACACTCTTGCAATGCTTTAAACAATGTTTCTAAACTCTAAAGCTCCAAAAGAGCACAGAATGTCAAGATTACCAGCTCTCTGCCTCTGCTGCTCTCAACCACCTGCATGCGTTCTTGGCCACGCCCACTTTCCCACTCTGCACAGAGAACAGCTGATCAGCTGCAACAGGAAGTCTATCCTGCAGCTCTGGGCTGCACAAAGATGCAGGAGGTGCTAAATAATTTTGAATAAATTTTAAATAAAAAATTTGTGCAGCTCATCCATCAATCAGCCAGTTGTGTGTCATGTCCAATCTTATTTTGATATATATATATATATACGGGGATTTTTGATTTTTACCTGATAATACAAAACACAAAATAACAATACTTTATAAAGTACAAGTTAAAACAGATTTAACAACCATGACAAAATACAAAGTGACCATAAAGACGCACAAAACACTGCCTTGTTATTTCGTTTTGTAATCCTAAGGGTCCATGTTTCAGTGCCCATCCAGACGTTTTACATTATTTTCTAAAAGTTGCAACAGATGCAGGAGATTTCAGTTCCCGAGTGAGGTCACTGCTGGCATGGCTGCGTGTTTGTTAAGGTGTACTGTTGCAGCGGCACAATAGAACAAACAGAAAACTAAAAATACAGACAGAGGAAGGAGGAAGGGTCTCTGGAGAGAAGCACAACGGAGCAGAACTTCCTCTTGGAGTGCGAGCACGCACCGCGTCGACAACACACCGCCGTCGTAGACCCACACATGAAGGTACACGTGTCGGGGTTAACTCCCATCGCTGCAGGTTCTGCTAATCGCATACTTACTTAATGAGTTAAACATTACTTTCACATTTTGTTCAAACACTTGTCTCACACGCCTTGCTTAATCTGAGCAACAATCCAAAAATGAAGACAATAAAAAGAAGAAATCTGGTTTAGGTTACGGTGAATCAACAAACAACAGCGTTTGGGTCAGTCCTGATGCTGAAATGTTGTTTACACTGAAACTGTGACACTTTAGCATAAAATGAAGCACAAAAACGGAACTGAAAGGCTGCTGCAGTAAGAAGGTCAGAGTTCAAGGTGAAACTGGAAGTTATGTCTGTTGTTTTGAATTTGTGCGTGTGTGTGTGTGCATGTGTGTGTTCTTGTTTTCCTGCATTATGGGAATCAAGGTGATTTTTGAAACGTCGTTGAGGACATTTCTGAAATTGAGGACGTGGACGCTTGTTCTCACCTCAGGACAGCTCGAATTTTTCAGAAAGAACAATCGCAAAGTTTAACTGGATAATTTTTTTATTGGCCATCCAATGTGTTTACAAATGATCAGTTAAGGGGGTGAAAACTTAGGCGTTGAAGCCATTTACAGCCTTTTACTCATGTTTATAAATTAGTTTTTTGTTTTTTTCCTACAGCATATAGCAACTACATTTTTTGTTGTAACATTAAATTACACACATTAAAGATGTAATAAACTGAACTGCATTAAAGATTTAGCTAATACGGTAGTCTCGTGCTACTTCCCGGTTTGACTTTCGCGGACTCGCTCTGTCATGGTTTGTGTACACAGTCCATAATATTGTACAACAAAAAAATTGTACCCAACACACGATTGTAGACTTTACAGTAATATTACTGCACTCACGTCATGGGGAAAAATAATGACAAAAAATATAATTAGGACAGGCACCACCATTTTGTAGTTTCTTTCCATAAGCTTGCAAAGTATCACCAGTTCAAACGTACTACGTTACCCACAAGACAGCAGTGCACTTTCCAGAATTCAACAGTGCTTCCCAAAAGGGAAAGACAATTTTCATCCGATCCGAACCAAACTAAAAAGTTTAGTTCTTATCCATAGTGACTTCAGAGCTCAGTGGATGCAGAGCTGACCAGAACCGGACCAGAACTGGGAAAAAATATTACACATAAGCAAGGATTGTAGGAAACTATTTTTTGTGGTGATTTCACAGTGCATGGCCCAAAAAAAACTTAAAGGATCTAATTTCATTATTTTAATAAATAGTTTTTTGTTTCATCTAACGCAGCCTAGTCCAGCTTGTTCTATTGAACCCTTTAAACAATGACACTGGACCAAAGCGTATAGAATAAATAAGACATAATGAACTGGTTATTTATAAAGTTACAGAACCATTTATTTTATTTTATGTAATGTTTTGAGTATATTTCTTAGCTCTTGTTTTTAGTCTAATTATTTTCACACTTTCAACTAAAATCATACAGTTTCAAAAATTGTAGCTGATCAGTTTATTCTTATTTTGGCTGTATTGTACAAAGTAGTTACCTGGATTATTATTATTTTTTTAAGTTAGTTTTTCATTTTACAGTTCAGTATGGTTACGGTACTACTATTTTTTGCAATTTCGTTACACATAATTTTGTACAAATCAGTTGAGCTTATTCATTGTAGTTGGGTTACATATATTTAGAAACTGATTAATGGAGGTCTCACCGGCGGGGGTTTCGCCACCACGCAGCAACCCATCTTGTGCCAGAAGTCGCTCATGCCAATGCTCTGCCTGTCCAGCGGCCGGCCGTTGATCTCTGCTGCCGCCCTGCAGGCCGGAGGAGGAACTGCAGCCTCAGGATAATCGTGGGGCATCCAGACAAAACGCTACACTGATGTAGACACTCAGAAGCCCAACACCCCCAGATCTACCCCACCGCAGGGAATAGTCTATAGGACTGCAGAAGGTTCGCATAAAATAAAAAACTAAGGTAATCTCCTTTGTTTATGTCTCCTCATAAGTTGAAGGGGAAAAAGCCTTCTAGCACTCAAGTTTAAATGTCCAGAAGTCCAAAACGTGACAACAGAGCTTCCTGTTTTACCTGTGGAGAAACAAACAAAAAAAAAATTATTACAAACAAGCTTTTATTCCAGATTTAGTTGAAGGTGTTTATTGTCAAAAATGTTCCCCCCAGAGAATCAAAGCAGATCATAATGTTCTTTGTGTCTCATCAGAAGGAGGAAGTTCCCCGATGATTTATTCTGCCACGGATTGTGTAATTTCATCTTTTGCAACGAGACTGAGAGCGTTTTCTTTTATTTGTGACGCCTTTTACCTGTAGGCCTTTTAATCCATCAGCAACTGAGATTTATTTACCGGTAGGTGTTCTGGTGGCTCTTCACCTGAGACTAGACAAAATCAACCAAATGCATTGATTTAATTTAAATTATTTGATAGAGGATTTACTTAATCTCTGTTTAAAGTGCATTGCAGCAGCAGCAGCCAGCAAGACTTTTATCCAAACTCAGTTTAGTTTCTAAAAGTTGCTGTAAATCAAAGCCACGGCATTGAAAACAGATTAAAGCATGCCAGTTATCTACCAACATCAGCGCTATGGTTTGCCAAATAAGGCTATACTACTGGAACATATAAAAGCTGAATGAAAATCAATGTAACGGAATATGTAATTGCATTTTTCATTCTCTTAAATAGCACTTATGCTCCAAAACATTCACCGCATCTCCAAAGAAACAGCATTAAACTCAGCCAAAGTCCTTACAAACGCAGAAAAATGTCAGTGCGCTCTGTCCCCGAGCTGCTAGGGAACCAAACCCTTCGAGACGTCAACACGGCAAGCCCATTAAGCATGACTAAACACTAGGTGTGGTCCAAACACAGAGCAGGAAGTAACAGACACACACACATGGTCCTACTGTTAGCCTTTCAACATAGCCAGAAATAGAATATTTCTCCAAACCAAAGCCGACAACCAGTAATATATTAACTGGTTTTAACCTTTTAAACTTTTAAAAGATTTAAACTCACAGAGCTGCACGTAATATAGTTTCCACACAGAGAATATTTCTAATTTGAATATAATCAAGTAGACAAGGATTGTGGAGATGCAATTTCTAAACCCACAACAACAAGAACTCCTATAAACCTGCGATAAAAGCACCCCCACAGGCATCACGTGGAAAGATTGTGCGCTTGAGCTGGAAATTCATGTTTTCTTACAACAAAAATGGCGTTCGCATCGAATAATGAATGAAGTCTGTACCTGAGGGATTAAAATTATTGAGCCTTTAGGGAGGAACTTTCTCCTTTAACTTGAAAATGTGGCTTGAAACTTCCCATTTGTTGACTGATTTGGATCTTCACATGGTGTCTCGACCAATTGTGGCAGAATTGCACTTAACTTTGAGTAGATCCAAAAGATCAGAAGCCGTTTTATAAATTTAAACTTAATTCTTGTGCGGATCACCTCGACTGGATGGCAGAAGGCATCCAGGGTCTCTTGATTGTGCGCATGTTTTTCTATTCTCAGCATGTTCTAGTCCTGCTAAAGAAATGTCTGGAGTCCCTCCAACACATTTCAGCAGATGATAAGGCAAGAATGTGGAGGCCAGAAACATGTAGCTTCATGCTTCACATCCACGAAGATCAACAGAGAGGAATTCAGCTTGAGGGTCTGACGTCCAGGAGAGGACTTCCTATTTGTGAATATGACTACTTATGAAAACAAAAGAAGGGTTTTTCCTTTTTTTTAATTTCGGTTTACCTTAACGCAGTTCTGAAAGATCTACGCGTTTGCAGTTTCAAAATAAAGATTTGAGAGGAGCAAGCGGTTCCAAACGAGCCGTCACATGAAGACAAAATTCCACACGTCTGCGTCTAATCTTACATATTTTTCACAACCGCTCATTCTGACCGAATCAAGATTCTTGGAGGTTCTGGGATGAGCTCGAGAACAGAAAACCTCTGTTTTCTGCCTATTGTTGTGCTGCTGACAATAAGCAACTGAATCATACCCCCCCTGCCCGCCAATATGGGCGCGGTGACAAAGGTAATCTCATCTGGATTACGATCTCAGATTTGTGCAACTGAAGGAAAGTTGCACAATTATGGGGTCAGATGGGTGGAGGTTGGGGTGGATTAAGGCGGTGGAGATAAAAAAAAAAAGTGTAGGTTTCCTTTCTCCTGTTTGGATCATCTCCGTTGTTTCGATAACAGCGTTTACCAAAATTTACAAACTGTAAACTTAGTCTGCACAAAATGTAAAAATGAAGAACAAAGTGATTGTGGAACAAAAAGGAAGGTTTCCAGACGGGGTTTAAACTTCCTGACCTGCAGACAGGCTGAGAGTGTTTTTGTCCCATGATGTCATCGTTCTGTCTGCAGGAGGTCTTTCACACTTTGGCTTTGAATAGAGCAAAACTACTATTTTAAATTTAGTTTTAACCATAAAAACCCTGAGCTACAGAGCTTTAATTATCCAATCGCATGCGCTTGTGTTTGTCTGTTAGCTAAATATCTCATTACAACTGGACAGATTTGAATGAAACAAAGACTTAGCAAATTCTGTCATTTCTGGACTATTGAGCACACCTGAATATAAGCCGCACCTGCTTAATTTAAAAAGAAAATTTAAATTTTACATAAATAGGCTGCACTTGTCTATAAGCTGCGGGTGTTCATGTTGTAACATGAGATATTTACACTAAAACTTTTAATTAAATACGTACCAGTAACATTCAGGAATACAGTAACAGTAAAAAAAATAAAAATACAGAAGTCTCTCAGGAAGTCATTGATCTCTACCCCCACAAGAGAGATGTGTATTGGGCAGTTATGTGAGCGCCTGGGTGTGACGAAGCTAAATGTTTTAAAGACGTGAAGCTCGTTAGCCCATAAAAAATTTTAAAATCCACAAATTAGCCACAGCATTGTATAAACCACGGTGTTCAAAGCGTGTGAAAAAAGTAGCGGCTTATAATCTGGAAATTACGGTCATCACTGAGCGTATCTTTCAAAGTCAATGGCTTTAGAGGTATTGAGCTAAAATCCGGTTGAGCTGAGTCATTTCCAACACATAGTCAGAGCACCAACGAATTGTGTGACGTCTTTGTTTAAGTTCTGGTGTGAACGGCGGCATACGATATGTGTTTCTTCGAGGACCTTTGGTTTTATTCATGTCATCAAGTGTGTGGGGAAATACTGGCTATTTATTAAAGACTCTGAAGTTTAATGCCGTGAATGTTTGTTTGAGGTCTTTTTCACATTTCCACGCTCTGCTGTCATTACTTGCTGTACTTGACCTGTTTATATTTGTAATCATTTCCATCTACATTAGGTTTTTTGTTGTTTTTTCCTCCAACAGAAAGTAAACTTGGACCTGCCATTCTGTGCTTGTCTGTTCCTGTCCTCTCAAACCCCAGCCGGTCAGAAAAGATGGCCGCTCGTCCTGAGCCTGCTTCTACTGGAGGTTTCTTCCTGTTAAAAGGGAGGTTTTCCTTTCCACTGTCTCCTTTGTGCTTGCTCAGGATGGGAGACTACAACAAAGTGAAAATTCAAGGAAATCTGCTGCTTGCGTGCATACTGTATATCATTTTTACTAATTGGCTTTTTTTAAATGTATGTTTACAGTTCAAGGTTCAAGGTGACATTATTGTCATTCACATGTGGTACTTGAGGTTAGGCCTGTCACGATAAGAAATTCTACTGGGCGATTAATTGTCTCAGAAATTATTGTGATAGACGATAATATTGTTTGAAATTTGACAATAATTAGTAATTAGTCAAATTTAAGAAGAAATGTTGGTTAATTTTTGTGTGTGGTACATTTTTTGACCACTGGATGGCAGTATAAGACTGAACTGAAGGATGGATAGTGAGAGAACGAGCAGCGTGTCTCTTTAAGAAAATTGGGAGGGAGGCCCCTTGACGTGACATGTGCTGTCTCTCTCGTTCCTTTTTTCAGTTGTCAAAATGGCGGACGCTCAGTATGTTTTGAGCTCTTTAGCATAGCATTTTTCACACAAAGCTTTTAATAAAAAAATCAGTAAACAAGTTCTCAGCTTCTTTTAGCAAAGAAAAACAACTTTTTAGACGAAGGTACAGGTTTCAACCGTGAATACTGGAGCTTTGACAAGACGGGGTTTTTTTTTCTCGAGGTCGGCCTGTTAGCTTAGCTCGTAGCTTAGCTTCTCAGCTTCGCTGCTTTTAACAATCCAAAAACGCAATTTGGGATTGTTAAAACATATTTTAAAGAGAAAAGAGAAAGGGAGGGGTCAGTGAGGAGCGCCTGAGTTGAGCTTTTTGTCATCCAGTGTCTTCAGTAGAAAGAGAGAGACACGAAGAAGAGATAAAGCCAATAAATGAAAATGAGGTCGATAATTTTCATTTATCATGCGATTAATTGAGTTATTGTTTATCGCGACAGGCCTACATGAGGTGGAACGAAATTGTGTAGTCAAGGTCCCAGTTACACCCAAAAATAGCAAAAATATAAAGTACATTAAAGAAAAAAGAAACAGTATACAAGGATCTAAGATAGATGCTAAACAATAATAATATAATATATATGGTGTATTAAACAGCAGCCTGAACACGAGTCTGTTGTGAGCAGATGGGTATGAATATAGCAGCTTATGGGTAAGAAATCAGCAGCATGGCTAATCAGCAGCAGATAACGTGTCAAATGTCCAATTAAAGTGGCATTACAGTGATTTTTCTGGTTAGGGATGTGAATGATTTTGAGACAACTTCTGTTGTGACTTGGTGCTATATAAATAAATTAATAAAATTCAATTGAATTTTTGTTTAGGATGAGCCGGATAATTCCTCCAAATATTCCCCAAACTGAGCTCGTCGTCACCACCGACCTCCTGATCTGAGAGCAGCTGAGCGTTAATCAGCTGAAACAACAACAGTCTGTCCGTTAGAAACAATGCTCTGTGGATCAAATGATCACGCTTCATGCAAACAAGAGGAAGGTGGAAAAAAATCTTTATTAACACGCGTCTCCTAAACAGTCTGACCTTTTAAAATCGTCTGAATCAAATCCATGACTAATTAAATCTGACTTTTTCTTACTTATTT